AATCACTAACCCTAACCTTAAGAAATTTTTGTACGATCACGTGACAGTAGAATTTTTGTGGCGCTGCTGGGTAAGATATGTCATGGTGCGTTTCCCTATGTATAATGATAATTTGTTATAATTTGAAAAGCACAGTAAATTCAATAAATTACATTAATATTATAATTATTATAAAGTTAAGCTTAAAAATGAAAATGCAAAAACCTTCAAATTTATCGCTCTATTTGATATATAGCGATAGACGATAGTAACGATAGATCCAGTCCTAACGTTATTAAAAACTTTAAATGACAGCTATTTAGTTATTCAATATTTATATTATCTACGGACAAACGGTTTATCAATTTATTTTTTTATGTACTTAAAAGTAAGAATCAATATTCTTATATGACAATAAGCTTGATTCTAATTAATAGATTAATAAATTATTAATTCTTTGAACCAGACGATACAAAAAACTATTTGGTTTTCTTTAATTCATTTGATCAAACTACTTTTATTACGCTTCTTAATATTCTTCTAAAATTAATCTTGGTACAATGTTCATACTTTGAAGTTCTTGAAAAAGTAGTTTTGCAGCATAAGGCATTTGCATCGTTACCATATGCTTGCTAGATTTGCAATGCTGGCACCATCCCCTGTACCCAATTAAACCACACTGTTCACAGACATGAACATCAAATTGGTCCGAAGATATCATTAAACGTTCCATAAGTAACATACTAGCACCATAACCGACCAAACAATCACGTTCCATTTCACCTAAACGCAATCCACCATCTCTCGATCGACCTTCAGTAGGTTGTCGTGTTAAAACAGCACGCGGACCTCTAAAAATAAAATAAAATACAAATAAAATAAAATAATAAATTTAACGCATCTCTGATAATTTTTAATGAAAATGTGACCTACCGAGCACGAGCATGCATCTTATCAACTACCATGTGCTTCAACTTTTGGTAATATACTGGTCCAAAGAAAATATATGCAGATAGCGGTTCACCAGTTATTCCTATAAAATTAAATTGTAAAAATATTAACAACAATTTCCATTTATATAATTATAATTCTGAATAGTAGTTACCTGAGGTTACATAATCTTTACCGGAATAACTATATCCGTGCTCAATCAAGATCCTACTCATATCTTCAACTTTACTACCACCAAATGCTGTTCCATATTGTAACTCTCCTTTTAGAACCCCAGCTTTACCAGCC